GTGAGTTGCAAGCGATATGCTGTTGCGGACATTGGTGGAGTCGAGTGAGTGGAGCCAGCGAGTGTCCAGTGGGGGGCTACGGGCCGACGCCGAGTATGGACGGGTCGGTTGCGTGAGCAAGCACCGGGTACGTGGACCGAGGCGGCCGAGGGGCCAGCGTGTGTCCAGTGGGGTGCTACGGGCCGACGTGTAGGAGAAGAGTGTGAAGAGCGGAGCTCGGGGACCAGATAGACTCGATGGACAGTGCGAGAGAATGTGTGTGTGTGTGTGCACAGAGACTCGAGTGTGTTGTTGTAGAGAGTTGACTGTATGTGCAGACCACTGTAAGTGATTTAATTTGACGTGAATAAATCAGGGTTGACAATCCAAGGTCGCAACGCCGACCCACGTTACAATATATATTGTTCACTGAGAGATTCTTACAAAATTTGATCTGTAAAAGTGTCGCACCTCTGATTTACCACTGAGCTGAAATTTTATTACATTTCATTAGAATTGTAAACATATGAAAATGGTTCCAGAATTCATACTGCAAGCTTCATACATTGTAGATCAGTGGTATTCAACCTGGGGATACGTGAAATTTAAAAAAATATATATTATTTTATGATAAACACTGAATAATCAGTAATGTAATTTATTTAATTTATTTTAGATGTAGATTATATACTATGTATAACTTGAATTATACACCAACAACTTTGGGGGTACAAAGTTGAAGAGAAATTATATCTGTGGGTACGCGAACAAAAAAGGTTGAATACCACTGTTGTAGATCATCTTACTTAATAAGTGTGATTAACATTATTAATTATTGGCTGCCAGCATTCAGTTTAATGAAGATTGGTTGAAATAGAATAGTTTCTTGTTATTGACTGACTAACTACCACTCAGACTGTAAACTTGGTGTAGCAGTGCAGAAATAAAGTGTGGTAACAGTTTGGAATTAAGAGCTGTTCTGAGCAGCAAGTAACTTTGTAAGTCTTTGCTGCTGTTAAGTAGAATCCGTAGCTCAGTAACTTATTTTTTTATTGTTGTACTTCAGATTTCAATTTGGCGTACCTACAGAGGCATGGGTTCAACACTCCCTTGCTGTTTCGTGACAAAACTGGTCTTGGGTTAAGAGTTCCTAGCCCAAATTTTTCTGTTAATGATGTCCGGATGTGTGTTGGTGAGTATTTCTATGCAATTTTGCATGAGTTGTTTTTATTTATATTTTCTTAACTGTTATGTAATAATTTATGTAAATTTTAGGTTCACGGCGAGTGCTGGACGTAATGGACGTGAACACACAAAAAAATGTGGAGATGTCTATGAAAGAATGGCAGCGATACTATGATGATCCTAATAAAGACAAGTTGCTGAATGTCATCTCCCTTGAATTCTCGCATACAAAACTTGAAAATTATGTCCAGACTCCTACTGTGGTTAGTACAATTTTATGTGGTAATGTCGTATATGTTGACGTCTCCAACTTTGTGGTATGTTCATATGTTTGTGTGTTAAGTTGGTATTGTGATTTTATGTATCGTAGGAGTTCAGTTGAAATGTGTGACAACTTGGATGTGTAGGAATAAATGGTGGTGTTCAAAAGAATGCGTACTTTTCATCTGCTGAACAGATAGGGAATGTTTATTTTTAAAACTACAAATTATTCCACCCTACTTTTTGTGTGTAATTAGGTGCGACAGATTGATTGGGTCGATGTTGTGTGGCCAAGACATCTGAAAGAAGCACAGACAGAGTCGACCAATGTGCTGGATGAAATGATGTACCCTAAAGTTCAGAAGTACTGTCTCATGTCTGTCAAGGGATGCTACACGGACTTTCATGTGGATTTTGGAGGGACTTCCGTATGGTACCACATACTTAAAGGGAGTAAGGTGAGAATAGTTTTAAAATTCTGACTCTTTGCTTTTAGGATTTAATCGTTCATAAATTCATACTAAAATGTAATCATGAGAAAGTTTTTTCTACTTTCAAATGTTTGTTTAAAGAAAATGGAGCTGCCGACATCTGTGAAAATTTTAGAATGAAGAGCAACTTTCATGAAAGGTTTTGAGTTTGAGAATGAGAATTCCGGGAACTTTTTGACTGCCCTACGTAGGATGCTTATTCATTTAATATGCACACGGAAGTAATTTTGTTGTATATGTTCCAAACCTTTGGTGTAAGGAGGTTCAGATTTGTTGCCAGTGCTTGGTAAGAAGTTCTTAAGTCAGTACAAATTACATTTGATTTAAGCACTTGTTACTGAGCACCAGAGATGTATAATCACACATACAATGCCAAAAATGAGTGGTTATAGAAATTGAGTATGAAATAAAAGCTGTAACCAAATGAAATTTTGGTATAATTTAAACTGGTTGGTTGAATGGCTGTGTCTTGGATTGTCTTTTTCAGTGATGAAAAAGAGTAATGGAAGTCACAATGAAATATGTTTTTATTACAGATTTTCTGGTTGATTCCTCCTACAGAACGGAATATGCAGTTGTATGAAAACTGGGTTCTGTCGGGAAAGCAGTCTGATGTATTCTTTGGCGACACTGTAGACAAGTGTGGCCGAGTGACTCTAACAGCTGGAAATACGTTCTTCATTCCCACTGGCTGGATTCATGCAGTTTACACACCATTAGACTCACTTGTTTTTGGAGGAAATTTTCTTCATTCTTTTGGGATAGAGAAACAGCTTAAGACTGCACAAGTAGAAGACTCCACACATGTAAGTTACAAGTTTTGTTGAAACTTTGACAGGTGATTTAACAACTGTTATTGGGAACCTGCCTTATGTGGTATAATTTGCTTTGAGTGAAAAATATTGTCACCTTGGGTAGTGATTAATTGCAAACTTCTGTTCTAGTCTTGAGGTCTTGAGGCGCTCTAATGAAGATGCAGTAAAATTGTGTTCATTCGAAGTGCTTTGGACCAAAAAAGTACAGACTTTGAATTAAATAAATTCAGATTGTGATTTTCTACGCAGACTTGCCTTCTGAGAATAGGAGTTGATACAAGTGATGTCAGCATTGTGTTGGATTGGTAATAAATACTAAACACAAGTTTTAAAATTGGAATAAATATAGTTTTTTTTAAGGATGTCATTTGTCTAAATTACAATTTAAATTGTGGCTGAAATGTCAATGCACAGTGTCACATAATTACAGATCACGTTATGTCGTTACGGAAACATGAGTCAGTTTCTTTCTCTGTTTAAGAGAGTCTTTGTATAGTCTGGAAACAAACTTTGTGTTATGACATCTACATATGTACATCTTATTATGGAATCCAGTGTGCCATGAGTGTTTCTATGTCAGAAGTGTGCTAGCGGTCTCTACATTCAGAGCCAGGGGTGACCATATTTTTTCAGCTTTTCATTATTGGATAGTTGAGTATTGTCCGCATTATATAGGCAATAAATATTGATCTGAGTAATCTAATTGACCTTGTAGCTCCTTACATTCACCATCCTTTTCCTCATTTATATATTTTTCTGTGCCAAATTTATCTTTGTCAAAACATGTGGTTTTGAGATATATTTCCAGATATTACAGCATTTCTCATTGCGTCATTGATGTTCCATTGTCTGATCTTAGTCATAGAGGTGAGGCTTTCTTTTCTGTTTCTTGCAAATATATATATGGTACAGACGCTTGTGGTATTTGTATTTCATACATTGAATGATACCATGATCCAGAAGTTGCATGTAACCTGTGTAATGGGAGTAAATTCAAAACCTAAACATGCTTTAGTTAGTAACAAGTTTCTTGCATACCATTATTATTTGAAAGCACAGCAGCTACTGGCAAAGTATACTGTCATTAAATGTGTGTATTGTGGCTACTTCTATATGAGCAATTCTTTGTATATTTAATGGGATGTGGTCTTTCATATGTACTCATGATGGGTGGCCATAAGTTTTCACGCTGCTCCCTGTTGCATTAGAGTAGCGTTTGGCCTATCCTTGCACTTTTTCCTTACCTGCTTGTTTCTCCTGTAGTTAACTTATGTTCCGTTAGGTTGAGCGTTTAAAAGTGACCCAATTTCATGTGCTCCAAATGTGTTTCGTGAAATATTTTTCCAGTATCAGTGTCATAGCGTGGTACCATTGTTCATCAGCTTAGGCACCTATTGAAGGGTGTTTACCGTTACTTACAGTGTCAACGATACCATTAATCGTACTGTTATGTTGCTCCTTAAATTTTTGCAGCCAGCATTTTGAAAATCAAAACTCAATTTACATTTAAGGAATGTAGGGCCTACAGTAGTAATAGTATCAACATGAGCATGGCAAAACCATTCATATAATTCGTCTTATAAATCTGAATACTTGACGTCAGATTAGATTAATTTTCTTTTTGAAATTTCTGCATGTTCTGTGACTTTATATTTAGTCTCATCCATGTTAAGAAGCATATAAAGCCATCTCTTTTGTGACAAATTGTCAGTTTATGTAAGATTTGAAGTTTTCACAGCGGTGAGTATGAAGATTCATGTCTTCTGGTTTGTTGCGCTGTGTAGTCTGGTTGATGTTAGCCAACGTTTCAGAGGTCATACTGCCTCCGTCATCAGGGCGGTATGACCTCTGAAACGTTGGCTAACATCAACCAGACTACACAGCGCAACAACCCAGAAGACAGGATTCTTCAAATTGTCAGTTACTTGAATTGCACGGTATCAAATTAATGAGGTTTTACTGTGTTGCTGTGTTTGCTAGTGATGTCCTCAGTAGCTTAAAAGTAAGTTGTCTACACAGAAAGTGGGATTCCTGTAATGAGTCCTTGGCGAAGGTAACATTTTTTTTTAACTCATACCAAAATGTGCCACTTTGGCTTTCAGGGATGTGCTGCAGTCTTGGATTTTGTTTCTCTCTCTCTCTCTCTTCCCCCCCCCAACCTACAGACTTTCTTTCTTCACCTTGTAATATGTTAACATCTCTTGTAGTTCATGTTAATTTATGAAGTTTTTCATTTCCAAATGATGTCTTTAATAAGAGGATGGCTGTCTTCTCTGTTCTACCATGAAGTCTGGTAGAAGTTTACTGATGTTTCAGAGGTGCTTGCTGCCTCCGTCATCAGGGCAGTGAGTAAGCCACACTTTCACAATCTAGATACAATCCCATAGCATCTTCCTTCTGTGACTGTCTTCTAAGTGATCTCTTTCCTCTGTGTTTGTTATTCAACCTAAATTTTATAATGCATTTTTAATTTCTTCAAGAATTTCTCATATCATACCTGTTTCTCCCTTCTTGACGTAATTATCCTAAGGATATTAGATGTACAAACTTTGAAGTGCCTCATTATGCAATTTTCTCCTGTCTTTTGCTGCTTCATCTCTTTAGGTCATAATGTGTTGTGTTTTGGTTCAGGTACCACAGAAGTTTCGGTACCCGTTTTTCACGGAGATGCTGTGGTATGTGCTTGAACGTTACGTCCACTGCCTTTTGGGACGTTCTCACTTGGATGAAGGAGGCGGTGGAGGAGGCACTGAAAGTCCTGGTTCGGATGCTTCGAAACCTCAGACTTCTCCACAGGCAACAGAAACTCATACTCATCTGACTCCACAGGTATGGACAGTGCATAAATCTCATCAGTAGCTAAATCATAAACCAACTGGGTTACCATATGAGCAGAAACTTTGTTTTGTGGCATCAGAATTAAACTAAATATATGACCATGGTTACCATGGTGACTGGCTTCAAATGTACAAATTCTCTTTGCATGTGGGTAATGTAAATTTCCGAACACATTTCTGAATCTATGAATTTTGAATTACAGGAGCTGCATGGTCTCAAAGCCATCGTAATGTTCCTCCATTCACTGCCCACCAACAAGAAGAATGTTCCAGAATTAATTCGAGATCCCATTGCCCTCATTAAAGATGTACGCACTCTTGTGGAACAGCATAGATATGACAGCCCTGAAGCAGCTGTCACTGGTAAACCAATTCTGAGAGGACCAGATCAGTGTGACAGGGTAATTTTGATGAGTATCCAAGTTTTATTACTTGTAAAGTTGCTACTCTGTTTGGCAGTACACAAAATTAATTACGAAAATCCATATATAAAAACCCCCGTTGTCATGAAAGTATAACTAATTATTAATTGGAAAGTGGAGACACGTCTCATGTCATTTTAGATGTAATTGTGAAAAGTGTTTATCTAAGTTCAAAACAATCTTGATTTTAAGATAGCCCCAAACATCAGAATCTGAAAGTGCATTTGCTTGTAACCTACAATTATCAGTTAAAAGTTTATTTTGTATGTTTCCAGAACCAATGCAGAGCATTTCCGCACATTACACAAAGACTCTTCCCACGGGTTTCCACCTAAAATTTTGTATTTCCCCCATGTCTCATCCACTCTGTCCTTCTTGATTTAATCACCCTAACATTAATAAGGGACATTGGAGGCTCACTATGTATTGTGTAATTTTCTCCATTCCCCTGATCATCTTACATCCAAATGTTGCGCTTAGATATTTTACCATCAAAGACTGTGATCTACATTCTTCTCTTAAAATGAGACCAAATTTTACATTTATGTAAACAGGTAAAATTGCAGTTCAGTGGGTTTTCAGGGAAAAAATGAAATGATAAAATATTTAGAATATTATTTGGCAATGTATATTTTCACTTTCAGATACCTTTGCATATGCAGAGCTGTAGTTTGTTCTGGCCTTGTATGATACGGTCCTAACTCATTCTTGTCTCTAACCTGGTTTATTTTTACTGAAATAAGTATTTAGCTTTAGTGGTAAGAGAGTGTATAGTCATAGAATTGGTTGTATTAGTCAAAGAAGCAAATGCTTAAAATTCATAATAAAGAATAATTTTTATGTCTTTGTTGGATTTGATAATTATATTTCAAGTTCAGTTGGTTTAATGGAAAAAACAGCGATGTTTCAAGAACATTGCGTTTTATCTATTAAACCACCTGACACAGCTGGTAGCTAGAGAAGATTTCATTATATTTAGTTGCCATGAAAGCTTCAGATCATACATATACTGTTCTGTTTTGCATTTCATGTTGATAGCTGTCATTAAACATTTTTTGCCCCTTTTAGCCCAGAAGCCGTGGTGGACGTCTTCCTCTGACCAAGAACTCTGGTAACCGTAGTTCGACTCCTTTTGCACCTGGCAGTACTAAGCAGGGTAAACATCGTGCAGGGGGTAAAGGTGGAGCCAACCAAGGCGGAGGGGGTCCGAGGAGAAGACGAACGCGGTGCAAGAAATGTGAGGCCTGTCAGAGGAGCGATTGTGGCGATTGTTCGTTCTGCTTGGATATGGTCAAGTTTGGTGGTTCAGGTCGAGCTAAACAAACATGCATCATGAGACAGTGCTTACAGGTATTTTTGCGCTTGTTTTTGTCATTGTGTAGTAGAACCTCGTAAGTATATATGGTTTCCATAACAAAGATGCCCTGGCGAATCTCTGCAAGATTCCACAAAAATGTAAGTAGGTCACGACCTCTTTTTAAAGAACTTGTACAAAAAATGCCAACATTTATGGCCTCCAGTTTTACTTTAGTGGGTGTTTTTAGCATGGTCTGAAAAGTAGCATTCATGGATTTTTATTCAAAATTGTCTCCTTACATTTCAGTTCACTTACTATAAAGTTTATTAAAATCCTTCTTTGTTTTTATAGTGTTGTTCGGAAGTTCACAGCAGGAAGAACTTAATACATTGAAATTTGAGTTTCAGGAGGCCCAGAGAGTGGTTATCCAGTTGGTTTATTCATTGTTTTCCTCAGTCCCTCCAGGAAAATGCCAAAAGTGGTGCGTTAAATTAGGCTGTGACCACTTCCTTTCGTATTCTTTACCATTCGTTATTCATCCTTCTTTCGATGTTAAATATGATCTGAGCTACTTAGTGTTTTGGAGAACATGGTACTTTGTTTACATTAAAATAAATAAATGGTGTTTTAATTGGTGTACACACGACATGAGAGTGCTGTTTTATTTTATTACTAATGTTCTAAAACCTCAGCTATTAAGAATCTCACTTTGAAGATAGCCGGAAACAACTGCAGTGGAACATTTAATATTTTCAGCCAATGTTGCCGGTTACTGCAGCCTGTGTCAGCTGTGGACTGGATGGTTGGGGCCAACAACCTGTCATACCGATTCAGAAGATGAATAGGGAGATTCCCAGCTCACTGATGGAGTGCAGCGTTTGTTACGAGATCATCCATCCAGACTGTGTTGCCAAACTTGTGAGTATATGTTTTATATCAGCTGTCATGTTAGTGGTTATCACTCTGTCATATTTGGTAGGACCTGTGTTCAAATCTTAGTTGAGAGACCTGTTATTCTTGATATTTTTCATTGCTTTTCTTCAGCCCTTTATGACAATGCTGGATTATTATTGTTGAAAGTTTCTGTTTTGGCAAACACTGCAGTTGCCATGTTCAGGCTGAATTTGTGCCGGGGGGTTTTAGGAAGCCTTTTATGTATCAGGTAGTAGGTAAATAAGATCTGATGGGAATTTCACAATCTGTACTCTTCACCAAGTATTAGGTGAAGGTAGGTGCAATGGGCAGATTATGTAACGTGCTCGGAAGGCTTAAGGACAAGTTGGGAGACCTAGGTGTTTATTCAAGGATAATATTAAAATCGTTCACTCACAGATATTCTGTTGCTGGCTTACCTCTCCAGCTATTTTTAGTATTGTACTTAACAGTTTACTTTGCAAATTGCTATAGAAATGTATGACTGCGTATCTACCGATGTTCAAGAAATTTCAAATAGTAGTCTTGTGCAGCATCTAACAACAGAAGCTTAACCATGTGCTAAAAGTGTGTTTTGAAAGATTTATTTTTGTTTTACGGTGTGTTGCTGTCTGACCAGGGTCAGATATTGTAGTCTGGAAGTTGACGTACAGAGTGGTGCAAAAGTAAGGATACACTTGCCATCTCTTAAAATAATAATTTTGTTTTGTTTTGTTTTTTTTCCCCACACAAACATTTTTCAACTATTTCATACAAAAGAGTTTTTATGTGTTTACCTGTGAAGATAATTGTAAAGGTGGACAAGTAAAGAAATTAAATTAAAAACAAAATTGTAAGGAAAAACATATGAGTTTTCATTTTGTGTCATGGCGTTTGCATCTGCTCTGTATTTGCCTTGAAACTACAGTGAAACCTCGATGCATCGTTTTCGGCGGGGGTGGGAAATAAAAACGATGAATGCGGGAAAACGATAGATGCGGGAAAGCATTAAAAATTTTAAAAAAAACAATGTTTCTCTTTCAAAGTTACTTCTTTTTACCAAAAAAGTCTTTAATGGACAACTGGTTTGTCGAAACTTTACGTTTTAGACCAAACAGAGCACTTTCCACGTTCAAAATGTTTTCCTCGTCACATTCACTAATATTATGCGCATAAAAGAACGACTTCACTTTCGCCAATGCAGCGTGTGCTTCGGCAAAACTCGGCAAAGCTTCGGGCTTGCATTCGTCGTCTTCTTCTTCTTCCTCACCACTCCAACCCCCTTTGCGGACAATAACAGGAAGAATGGAAATACTATTACTGCCGAACTCAACGAAACGTAGCTGTAGAAGACACGATATGAACCAGAAGAATGAAAAAGTTTCGCTCGCCTTTCCTTTGTACTTATAATAAAAGCATTTGTGAAGAAATTCACACTGCACATGCCATCTGGCATCGCTGGAACGAAATATGAGTGCACCCTAATTAAAATCGTAAAATTTCTGACAATGAGCACCGCCATTCACTCCAACTATCACCCCTGCACCGCTGACCCTCATTCCAAAAGAATGTGCTGGTTGGGCGACATAACAGGTTACCGCTGTGTATTCCAAAAACATTGTGCGTCTTTCGGTATTAATTTATCTCTAAACCCAGCATTTTAAATTCTCAGGAACGATCATTGCGGGAAAATTGTGGGCCGGGACTACGATTTTTGAACGATCGATGCGATAAAACGATAGTTCGAGGAACGATAGAAGCGGGAAAATGTAACATTATTTTATATGGGATGTATTCGGGACCGAACAAAACGGACGATGCATCCGGGAAAACGATAGTTCCGGGAACGATGGATAGAGGTTTCACTGTAATTATCACCTTGTAAGATCTATGTATTTGAACAGCTGGGAAGTCATTATGATGATCGAAGTCTTGTGTGCTGTTTTGTAACAAGTTCAATTGCAAGGTGATTTTGGAGTGTGTAGTGCGTTGACATTCATTGAATTTTATTATTATCATTGCAATAGCGTCTCGGTTATAAGTGAATATTATATGCAGTGTAATTGTAGAGTTTAAAATTGATTTATATTTTCTTTCTCCAGTGTCCTGGTATGGAGGGAGTTGTAAATGAAGACCTCCCAAACAGTTGGGAGTGTCCAAAATGCTGCAAAGAGGGGAAGAATGTCGAATACAGAGTGAGTGGTTTAGTGTTTATTATATACTGCCTTTTGTACCTGATGGGGGATTACAAGAGGTTGATGCTGCTGCCATCAGCTGTTATAAACTTTTTTTATTGTTTCTGTACATTTATAGTGAATAATGGTATAAAAATGTTTTGAATTAGAGTAGATGTTTTCATGTGCATGTGTTCATATTGGTAACAGTTTATCTTTGGAACTCGTTATGTATCTCACACAGATCTCCAATTTTTCCTGTTTATTTGAATTTTTTCATAGCCTCGTCATTTTAGAGCAAGGCAAAAGTCGTCAGATATCCGTCGGATGTCTGTGAGCAGCGATACCAATTCTGCCTTGCTTGATGCAATTAAAGTTGAAGGAATGAAAGTGGAAATGGATCCAGTGGCAGCTATTAACACTGCTTCGAGTTGCGATGATTTTGGTCGACCTCTCACCCCGCGTGACACCTCCTCTTCCGTTAGTTCGACTGGAGCCGATTCTCTTCCTGCAAAGAGGCCAAAGCTGGAGCCAGATGAAACTTCTAATGAGGTCAGTAGTACAGTAATTTTAATTACATGTTGTATGTCTAGGTTATATAATTCTATGTACTTCCTGTGGAATGATAAGATTTCATCTATGAATTTTATGTTGTTAGGGCACGCGATGTAATGGAAAAATGTGATATGTCGACTTTGGTCTATTGTCGGGGGCTTCCATGTGTAATGATGTTCTGGGCTTTTTGCTGTGTGGGCTGGTTGGTGCCAACCAGTACTATTGTCTGAAATGTTGGCATCTGTTGACCAGTCCACATGAAGCCAACCCCCAGAAGAATATCATCATTATTGTCACCATCATGAAAACCTCAAAATTCCCCTATGTAAATATTCCTCTGTTAGAAATTTCTGAAGTAGGACAGAAATACCATTTGTTCTTGTAGGCTGGCAATTTCCGACTATGTCTGAATGTGTTTAATGCTTCTGGAGACAAAAAAATAAGTATTGAATTGTTGATATAAAATATAACAATCCCATGTATGATGACATTTCTCCAATTTAGTTTGTTTGCTTTTATTTGGATCTTACGTGCAATCTCAATTTAAAGTTTCTATAGAAGTGTTTGGGATTTTGATTGTAAACTAATGGAACCTTGAATAAAAGTTTAAAGACTGAAATAATGGACTCAGGCCAATGAAATAGAACACCCAACTAAAATCCTTGAAATCAAGAAACTTTAAAATGCAATTCCTCTGTAATTTTTCAATCAGAAAGTTGATATGTCATGCAGTGCTTTAATGTGTAATCTTTAAATTACAGACGTGGTTTTTAGCATTGCAGTAACATGATAACAGTGTAAAATTTGAAATTCATAACATATTGTGAGTCATTAATTAGAGACAAGGTTTTTTACCTTTATTTTTATTCAGTAATATATCTTTTTTACACAAATGAGGAGGAATGCGTAAAACAATGCAGTTCTGAGAAAGTGGACGTCTGGCGGTTGTGGCATATCCGTAGAGTATCTTACTATTAATATGAGAATATTTTATAAGTTGTAACCCTTAAATTTTTGTTCCCATTTCAACTGTACTCATGTAGGATTTGAGGTTTTCACGGCGGTGAGTCAGAGGTCCTTGCTGCCTCCTCAGGCCCTGATGATGGAGGCAGCAAGGACCTCTGAAACATCATTAAACTTCTACCAGTCTACATGGCGCAACAACCCAGAAGACTGCAACCTTCAACTGTACTCAGTTTATCCAGTTTCGTATGTATCTGCGTTTTGAGGTACACAATAGAACAACATCCACCAGACATGAATCTGTTTCAAGTCTTTGCTACAACTTTACAGGGAGAATGAATGGTGTTTGAAATACATATTCTCTTGATATCGAATATGCAAGTTTCTAATTACGCTGTCATTGCTGGTTGATGTGTACTATTTCAGTAGTTCTCATCTAAATTTGAAGTACAGTTTCTGGAATTAGTACTGACATTGAACATTTATGAAGTTCATTCACTAATAAAGTTTAATGTAGCTGTCACTTCACAGCTCCTGGCAGGAACTGCTATAATATAGGTAAGTTGATTTTTATTACTTTTTTTATGGAGCAGTGCTGGATTTGTGTCAGGAAAATTTTGTAGTGCTTGGCAGTGAGTGCAGTTCCATTTAGGAGCCAGGAAATGGCAGTTGAATTCAACTTTATCCACGAATGCTCTGTATGTAATTGATGTTACTACTTGCTGCCTCCATCATACCCAGGTGATGGGGGCAGCAAGGTCCTCTGAAATGTCTGTAAACTTCTACTGGACTACGTGGCACTACAGCTCAGAAGACAGCCATTTATGTATGTTCACTTTCCTGCAAGCCTGCATGGTGCACTGACAGAAAAGTTGAGCACTGATGTGTATTTTGAAGCTTTTTATTGCACTTTTATTCACTGGGCAGACTTCCACATCTTAAAAAAATGTATGCCAGCTTTTAGTGTGAGCCATGTCAAATATTCGGTATTAATATTTCAATATGTTTGCAAAATAAATTTGCTCTTGAATAGAAAGGTTGGGCTACAGGTAGTTCAGTCAATATACTGACTGACAATGGACTGGATGACCGGAGTTCGATCCCCGACGGGCAGAGAATTTTTCCTCTGGCCTCTGTGTCCAGACCAGCTCTGGGGCCCACCCAACCTCCTATATATATACAATGGGTACCAGGGTCCTTTCTCTGGGGTGTAATACTGACCATTCACCCCAATCTAGTGTCCAGGTAAAGAATGAGTAGGAGCTTTAAACACACACACACACCCCAAGTGCCTTCATGGCATATAGTGGGACAGCTTTACTTTTACAGGTGCAGTCTTGATTAATTTACAACTGTCTGTCATGTGTTGAGGTCTGAAGGACTAACAGGTTCAAGAATTTTGTATTTTTGACGGCTTGTGTTTCCATAAAGGCTTCTAAATAGTGTATTGTAAGTAATGTTAAGTTATGGCCTTACGCATCTGAGACAATTTAAGCAATGATATAGCATTTATCAAGGCCATCTGCACTTCATATAAGCAAGTGGTGATGATGATGTCTTGGAATTATTGAGTCCTACAGGAATGTCTTACAAGGAGGGATTAGATTTAGTTATATTAGTTTTTTTGTAAGCATACCTTTCCATCACTGGACTTCCTTTCGATTTCTGTCTATGTGTAGGTCTGTGGCATGCATTACATAACACTTTGCTTGGTAGCAGTATGTTTATGGTAACATGCTTGTGGGTGCTTGCTTCAGTTCTAGCTCTGGCTGTTTTGTTTGGTTCGCTTGGCTGCACCCTGTTGGATTCAAGGTATGTCAGTTTATTTCAGTACCCGAAATTTCTTTAGTCTGTCCAGGTCATTACAAATACTGTATTGCATTTTTTGTTTTCAGAAGTTGGAAGTGCCAAAACTAATTTATTCATTTAGAGCGTAAGAATAAAGTTATGTGTCCCTCTCTGGTGCATGGGTTGTGAAATTGACTTAACAGCATAATGTTAATTCATAGATCTTAATTGATGGTTTTATCATAGCCACATGATTTGAGCAGAGAAGTACAAATTTTATGCATAGTATATACAGTGTAGAATAAATAATGATACTATTAATAATTTTTAACATCATAGAATGAACTTCGAATGTTTTGAACTGAATTATGGTGGTGAGTAATTTCAAGAAAACATCACCCATCTTTTTAAAACTACATTTCACTTTGTTTCACTAATTCCGTAGAGTAAAGTCCTCCTCGGGAAGTTAATAGTATACTCAGCTAGTCAGACTTGCATCTTTTATGGAACCTGCCACCTGGTCCTATCCTGACCCATATCAATTAAATCCACATTCTCCATATCCTATTTCTCTAAGATCCATTTTAATGTCATCTTCCCATCAATGCCTAGGTCTTCCAAGAGGTAACTTTCCTCCAGGTGTTTCAACCAAAATTCTGTATGCATTTTCATCTACCCTGCATGTTCAACCCATCATACCTTGTCACCATCTTTATGCTACATGTTTATTGTTTAATGGTGGAGTTAATTGAATGTGTGACAATTTATAGGTGTTCCATTTAAAGTGCATCCTTGATTACAACAGCATTTTGAAGCTTTGATGACATCAATATAATGAGATGAGTGGTTTGTTACAAAGTTAGGAACAACTTACAGAACAGCTTTACAGCAGAGTATGCAACCTTCTTGGAGAGACTTACTTGTTTGTCCCTGCACTTGGCATGAACATGCAAAATAGGGTGACCTTAACCCAAGTGTTATGGGGGAGGCTGGGAGTCTATTAACATGGGTGCACCTGCTTCTAATTTATTAATTTTTGTACCATAGTATGGGATTGGTATTGAGTTACATTTCAAATGATTGTGCTTCATAATGTGAAAAATGTAATACTCTTTTAAAGCAGTTGAAGTTATTACAGTCTATTTGTTCCAGCATCAGTCGTCAAATTGGAACGAACGAATGTTATCTCCAAGTGAAGCCAATGTCTCACCTCCTGGTAGTATAGCATTGAAACGCAGTCAGAGTGCAGAGGACTTACCTTCAAGTGGTGCAAGCCCTGGTAATATGAACAACGGTGGAACTGGTGGTCCCGCTGAACCAAGGAAGTTGGCGTTACGTACTCAGCTAGCCCATCAGCTATCTGGTAACTCTAGCAAAGTTCTGAAGAGACCTAGTTATGTTGTACGACCAGCACCTGGTCCACCCAGAGGAATAATGGGTGCAACTACAACTGGATGTGCAAATCTTGCTTTAGAAAAGGCTTGTATGTTGCCTGTGTTTCGGTATCTGAGTCCTGCTGATCTTGCCCGTTGTGCTGGGGTTTGCAGGACGTGGGCTGCATTTTCTGTTGACCCGAGTTTGTGGCGTCGTATGGAGCTGTCACACAAACATATTCTGACTGCACAGCATTTAGCTGGAATAACCAGGCGCCAACCCGAACAGTTAGTTTTAGATTGGAGTGTTGTAGCGAAACGACAGCTCGCTTGGTTAGTGGTCCGACTTCCGCAACTCAGAGAACTTTCTCTCCAGGGGTGTGTCTGGGCCGGAGTCAGTGCATTACGTACCTGTGTTTGTCCACCTTTAGCTTCTTTGGACTTGAGTTTTGTATCTGGACTCAATGACGCATCTCTGAGAGACATTCTAAGTCCGCCACCAGATTCTAGGCCAGGTCTTGTGGATACGAAATCGCGACTTAGAAATTTACGTACACTGAGATTGGCAGGCTGTGATTTAACTGATGTTGCCCTGCGTTATGTGACACAGCACCTCCCCCGTTTGGCCGAGTTGGATGTATCAGATTGTCAGAGGATCTCTGATGCTGGAGTAGCTCAATTAGCAACACCACCTGCAGCAACCATAAACTTGCTCCATAGTCTGAATCTTACCAATTGTCGACTTATCACAGATGCGAGCTTAGAACACCTTGCAAGGTGTGATGCTTTGGTAAGGGTTGACTTACGGAATACCCCACATGTCACTGCAGCAGCTATTGCTAAATTCGCAGTTAGAAGTAGACATGGATTGAAGGTTATGGATGGAAAGCTTATAGCCAAGCGGCCAACCTCTGCTTGAGACTTATGATATATAAATGTACATGCAGGACTTGAAACTATGGCACATTTGTGGCAACAGTAGGATGTTTTATATTTTCCTAGTGACAGTTCTCACCATCTTTGATTCAGATGCAGGTAATGGGATTGTGACCCATGTCTTTATAAAGAATTGACCATCTGTTCATCCCTCCTAACTTAAATCAGTTGTTTGATGCAGTTACTAACTGCAATGTTAGCATAGCATATTTGAGGGTTTCTTAAATGACTTTCAAAATGATTTAACCACTGATAAGAGTATTAGCTACTGAGCTGTTTGTTAGAGATTGATTCATTAGTGAAATGTTTAAGAAGAATAATTTTCGCGTAAGAATTAATTGATAAAGATCACTTGACTCAAGGAACAATGATTTATGTGTGTTGGTACAGGGCTTGAAGTTTAAATGCTATGGAAGTTCTGTGTAAACGTCACATTGACAGCTGAAGATACCGATATGGAATATTGTGTCATCCTCAACATAATCAAGTTTTATTGCTTACAAGGAGCAAATGAGGAATTCATCAGATGAAGACTTGAACCTTTTAGTATATTGAAGATGTGTGTTTTGTGAGTATGGAACAGTATGGTTTTAACAGATATATCATAGACATATTGAGGACTTTCAGCTATATATATGATGGCTTGATGGTTACAGCAGAGTTTTCAATGATGTTTATGTGGGGATTGGCAGGGTAGTTTCTGTACATCTGGAAAAGGAGATTGAGTTGTGGATGAATTTATTGAATAAATCTTGTTGGTTGTATTAAATGAGTTTGCAGTTGCCTTGGAAACCAGCTAGATGGTTCCTATCATCAGTCAAACACGGGATGCGTTCACATTTAATGCTTCCTCTGTTTCAATAACAGTAAATTCCCTGATTTTTCTCTGCAATATCCAGCCAGCCATCTTAAGGTTGCAGCAAGTTTATGTGATTTGGAATCGTAAGAAGTTTTCAGTTGTCAGATGTGCTTTTGCATTACGTAACTTCATGACCAATCTAAGATTGTGGTAAAAAGTACAAAAGAGGACCAGTGTGGGAGAAGGAGGGAATCTGTGTGCAATGTGATGTTCCTTTTATGCAAAATGTGATGAGAAACAGAGTGTGTAATAGATTAAATAAAAGATGAATTATGATTGCATTATTTGAAGAATACAACTTGGATAAAAGATTGATCGTTAAAAACCAGTACATTTTTGTAGATATATTTGATAAAATTTACCGACATCACAATATTTCTTGAAACAAAAAGTTTCACAAAACCTATATAGTACAGTACACTTTACAATACTGTAAATGTAAAAGTGTAGCTTTAGTATTAATATTGTAGGAAGCTAGCAAATATGATATTAAATGTATGATGAATAAATATTTAATTACAATATAACTCTTATATATTACATGGTATGTGATGTTCTAGGTTATGATGCCATATAGTCTTGTAGGTGGTTACCAAGATTTTGGAGGAATCTTCTGCCTCCATCATGATGGTTCCTCTGAAACATTGGTAACTACCTACAAGACATTGTGTCATCATAACTCAGATTTTCGCTCATGAAAGTCCCAGGTTTTGCATGATTTTCTTGCAACTGTTGTAACTTCATGGGAATGGCAATTTCTGGGACATTTCACATCCATTTGTATTATTTTCTGACTTTTGTCTTCAATGAAATTATTTTTCAGTGAACTTGAGTGGATCTCAGTATTGTCTGCAGATGAAAGGTTGATGAAAACATGGCACCTGTAAATATTGTTTTAAACCAAACTTGATTTATAAAACTATGAGTATCCATACCAGTTTTACTTCTGTTCTCTCCCCCTCTCTTTTTATTTTTTTCTTTCTGTCACATTTCATTCCTCACTTCTTGTTATCTTCTACATTTGCTATCATTTATTTACTCTTCACAAGTAAGTTAAGTTGGAATGGTGACAAAATAATTAAAATAATGGGTACACCATAAGAACAACTTTAGTAATACTCCTGATGAAATTTTATATTAAGGTGGGCCATACACAAAGGAAACCAGTTGTGTGTTTAACAGGTTGAATGTAATAATTTTCTTGGTGATTAGCACGCAAGGGAAACTCATTCGATTCAATCACCATCATATCATCAGACAAGGGTAGTGTTCTTGTGATGATGGTCATATCAGCATATTGGGTACATCACATTAGTACTGTGATTTTACTGCACAGTGCGGTCATATTAAAAGAAGTAGATGAATGATTTTGGTGTTTCTACTGCAGGATGAATCTGTCTGCTTTCAGGATGTGTCTAGTGCTAGAGTTTATGAAAGGGAACACAAATTGGAGACCATCTATGGGTCAGAAGAGGCTTCAGATTATATGGAACACCTCTTTTCACCCATTATTTGTTGAAAAAATCTGGATGTCGCTGTACTGCACATATCAGCGTTCCGTGTTACATTTGTGTGATGGTCAATTCCAATTTAGAGCAATAGAATTTTTAATATTAAACTACAGTTTACAATTTTATGAAACTGATTTCATTAAGCTGGTTTCTTCTGTATTTGACTCGCCTAAGAGCTATCATAAAAGTATAAACAACCTGTTACCTGAACTGCATCCAGTGAAAACATTACTTATAGGTCAAAATAAACTTGTTATATCATATTAAATTTAAAAAGGAAAATTAAAGAAGTGGTTGTTTATAAAAATAATCCTTTGTTCTTACTGTGTAATGCAAAGGTTTTTAAAACTTGTTATGGCCACATTTGTACAAGTAACAAGCTCATAGGGTCACTAGAGACTGGTTGCATTGTTCAGACTAGTCTCATGATCATCTTACCAGATGTGTTAAATACAGTTTTTTGTATGGAAGATTTGAACCATTTTTTTAATCAGCATAACTAACCTGTAAAGAACTTGATTAGATTTTATATACCTGGAACACAATTTTACTATTAAGTAGTATGAGCGATATGTCTTGGCTGTACTGAAGCACACCAGCATTTGCTTGTATTGTTTGAAAGGTAAGTTAAACTAATATGTGTTGCAAGTTATTAACGTGTATTTAAAATGTTGACATTTTGTCTTTTTTGCCCTTCATAATTGCTGCAATTAAGTAAAATATATGGGAAGGACCTATTTTCATTATGTCGCATTTGTCCATCCAAAACAACCTAACTGTTTTGATTAAACAGCATGGCAAGTGTGCTAAATACTGTTCATCCATTTTTGTGCCTTTGCAGTGCTAGTTTACTTGAGGTATTTCTTGAGTCTCTTGATGGAATTGCTTTAAAATGTATTCCTTTATTTGTTTAAAACAGGTTCCAGATATTTTAACAACAGTATTTAGTTTTACATATTTATATTTGTAAGAACATGTGTATATTTGACGCACCAGACTTGGAAATAGACCAGCTGTTATTATCTGGAGTGCTACTGATGAAGTATACATTAGTTCAAACATAAAGGTTCACTTCATGTACAGCAATGACATTTGACCGTGAATATTATATTACATGGGTACATGAGTGTTCCCCAGTGGTCAGACAGATGGAACATGTAAATGAGGAAGACTCTTTCATTTCTAGGAAGGCATCTTTTTAGGTGCTTGGAAATGAACATGCAAATAGGGATATAGTATCTGAAATGCAGTAAAACAACTGTATTGTGTGTAATTCTTATTTATTATTATATACAGAATTTAATAGGAACAGAGTATAAAGATTAATATTAAAATTTAGATTTTTACTAATTAATATTTCAGGTTGATGATTTTCATAAATCTCAAAATAATACATTCTTGGTTTTCATAATATTGATATCTTTGTGTTTCTGGTTATACTGGAAAGACGTTTGCATTGATTTGATCAGTAAATGATTCAATTGGTACCAACAAAGTATAGCCTTGTTAGTATTGAAACTACATGTATTAAATCTCACTGTGCATTGTACCAGAGATTTTGTTCTATCATGTGTCAAGCATTGCAGGAATTCCTTTATTAGAATTGGCCTTAGTATGTCAATTTGAAAATGGGATAAATATTGGTTGAACTTTTGCTGTGCTAAGGAGCATCTTTTTTGCTTATGAAGGGTTCTGATTATGGTGTAACACGATCAGGATTGTTGGGTTTTTGGACCTCATCCATCGTGATGCTATAAAACAACGTTTCGAGAACTGGATCGTCCTTCAGGTGTAGTGAAGAGGGCCCCCTAGTATTTGGGGTCAGTCCCAATAACTGGACAACCAATATCTCCCACTTACTTCCCACTCACCTGTCGTTCTGACCTGGGTTGTTTAGTGATTGGGAGCAGCTCATTCTAAGGGACAGAACAGAGTAAGTGTCCCGTTCTCTACACTTGATGATGGGAACAGATCCAGTTATCGAAACGTGTCCGATGTGGCAATTCCTGAATTTACAGTGAATATTGTGTTTATTTATAATAGAGACGAGTCGTGTCTTCTTTGCGGCTGATAACTTCTTTGTCATATTAAGCATCCCGTTACACCAAGCCTAGCACAAACAAATTTATATAAAGATTTCGATATGATTAAACCAACATCTACGGACTCAAATTTCGATTAAATTCAAGTCGTCGTAACTACGTTTCGTAGTTCCGAAAAATATCGTTGGTGTTGGATGGTGGCGTGGTCGTTCTAGATCATCTGTGTTCGTGGGTGTTACCAGTGTCATGGCGGTTGGATGCTAGTAAGTTAAGCTCCCCGTTAAGATTAGTGTAATGTACATATAGTGCCCCTTACTAAAAAAAGTAGTTGAAAGTTGTCTAACTACTTGTCAGGAGGATCAAACAGAACATTCTGAAGAAGGTTTGCAAGGTATGTGGGCATTGTAATTGTAAAAGGAGGTGCTTTTTTTTGTAGGAAATATTTTATTTCACGAGATTTGTCACTTGAAAAGTGCGAGGTGAAATTGGTCGTTAGCAGGCAGGGTTTGATGCGTTGTTAATTGAAATTCAGTTTAGTAAGTTTTGAATCGTAGTTACACTTTCAAACTCGGTATAGGCATAAAGGTTACTTCAAATAAGAAACATCAAGTGTTAATTTAGTTCTTTTGACCAGCTGTTTCCCTTGGTTGCACTGGTTAGCCAGACGTAGAAGTCCTTGTTTATATGTGCCTTTGGAGGTAAGTAGGCTCCATAGTCAATTTCTGGCTTGTCTGTGATTTTCCATGCTGCTTTATTACAGTCATCTGCATTTTGGTAATTGGTCTTGACAGGGGGGCCATAATGAGCATACTGGGGCATGTCATTACTATTATGTGTTACATTAAAATATCCATTTGCATAACCCTTGTTAGGAGGGCTATAATTGGTGTAGGAAATGTTGGTGTACCTGTTGGCATAGTCATTGTATGTGGGAGGCCCATAACTGTTGTAGTCTATGGGATAACCTGTATAAGAACCTGTGCCATAGCTGTAACCAGTGTCAATGTAACCATTGTTGATGTTTTCTTCAGGAAGCAGCAAAGATCGTACTTCTATTACAAATCCTGGTTCATTTAGTTGGCTGTCCGAGTTGAACGTTAGAACAGCTACGTTGTTTTTGGTCAGGATTTCAGGACCAGGTTGAGAAAGATTGCAGAATCTGTAATTGAACAATTTTAAATATGATAAAAGTACAAATACACAGTATTCCTATTCTGGGATAAAAGTTTGTTATAAATATAATGCATAATTTTTATGTTGTTATCTGCCTTAGGTATGATCACTTCTGAGCTCAAATGTACTGCATTGATAATGGTGTGAAATAACCTAGTTACAGTTGTAAAAAGGTTTTGAAAATGCATTTGATAGCTTCTTGCTTTATAAAAAAACAGACTCTAATGTTTTTGAGATTTCTTCATTTGATGCCATATTGTAATTTAATAATATTATAAACTGAGTTGGTATTTACCCTTGTCTTTTTTTGTTAGTCTCTTGTACTATTTGACATTTTTGATTAACTGACTGTCCTTTGGGCCCGTTTAGGTTGGATAATATTTAGGACTGTCCTGTATGTGTTTTGTAATAGTTATAAAATTGTATTCTCCCTTTTATAGTTTACATTCCTTGTTTTGTAAAGATGCACAAGTTTGCATGGTCTTGTGTTCCCTTGTCTGTTACTGCCAATAACTTTCATGAATCTTAGTATGAACATAATTCCATTAGAATCCATTATATCTGTAACTTTTTAATACCTTGCCATCATTTATACCAGCAGAGCAGATATAAGAACCTCTGAGGTAAGAAAAATATTAGCAAAACTCAATGCAGGGTCCAGAAATGATGTGATATAAATGATATTGAAGGGTGTGTTAATTTTTTCAGCTCATTCAATCTTATTCATATCCTTGTATTCTTATTTTCCTAAGATCCATGTTAATATTATCCTCCATTCTCCTTGGCTTACAAGTGGCTGTTTTCCACTCTTACACACCAAAATTCTTCATGCATTTTTCTGTCATCCCCCATCCAAACTGCGTATTTAGCTTGTTATAACCTCCTTGACACTCCGATCCTAATAATTGAAGACTGTTGTACAAAAAGTGGGTAAGTGACATTTACAAGTAGATGAAACTACTTGTAGTGTTTATTTTCACAACCTTACAGATGAATCTGTCTCCTACACCATAATATTAGGTTATTTGTGCTGTTTTCATAATCTAAATGACCAAAAACATGATTTGGCATTTTGGAGCTTTTTTGCATCAGTCTTCCCTTGTAGGTGACCTGTATAAATTACAAGG